GATTTCTGGAGATTATCCAAGGTGCTTCATGACCCATAATTGGGTCCCAAGCCCAACTTTGGGAACCAAAGTGCAGTGGTTCCKAAACTTTTCAGCTTTTGACCCACAAAATAACAGTAGCAGAGACCTGTGTCCAACTATGTTTGGATGATAAACATTTGTATCAGGTCAACTAAACATGGGCATAGTAAGAATATTTTTATACTACATTTATCCATTTTAAATACACTAATCTCACTCATTTGTAACAACTAAGGCAAAAATGTAATTAATTCAGAAAATCTTTTCAGGACCCCACCTTGATGTTTCGGGACCCTCTTAATTGTTTCAAGCATTATTTCAGTAAAAAATAACTATTCTTTTAGATCTATTTTTCAAAGGAATGTCTGAAGGCAGCCCAACATGTATGTTTTTTWAACTGTTTAAGGAAACACAAGCTTCACACAAAGACCCAGGACCATCATTTAACAAATTAAGCACTAACATAAAATGCATTAACATACATCATGACTAGAAATATTAATAGAAGAGAGCTATGTGTAAAAGTCCAGGACTCACCATTAAAGAGGGCAGAGTTCACAACACCTCCACCGATGGCAAGGGCAAGCCCCAGCTTCCCAATAGACTCAAATAACTTGGCCATGATGACAAACTCCTCCTGCAGACAATGAAAAAAAAAAAAAAGAAAAAGAGAAAAACTCTTGTGAGCCCAAACACAAGCTCCTTCACTCCGTGTAAACCACTTAACCTTTTGTAGGGATCCTTACAAACGCATCTTTAATCCCTTCTGTCCAGGAACAGTTGGTTAATGGCCTAGACAGCCAAAGCTGTGGGGGTTAGCCAAATTAGCAATAGCTAGCGCTAGCTGAGCGGCTAGCCGTAACATGAGACTGCAAGTATATCCAGACAAATTAAGACAAGTAGACAGAGTGGCTATTAATCAATAACTTATAACGTGCTATATGAAATATAAAACTAAGGTTTGTGTGGATCGTGTTTTAGTAGCYCGCCGGGTGATGAACATGCAGAGTAGCTCGTGTTTGAAACATGTCCGAGTTTTCAGTTTAATAAAATACTAAATATGGAAACATACATTTTGTCGTTGCATCATGATTGCCACATCAACAATTACTAAAATAGTGAACTGTTTTATATGCCCAGGAGATACAGTGTGTTATAACTCACCTCAGTTTGCTCAAAAGCCTGTGACCTCCACCGACCGGACTAGTAGAAAAAAACACATGGAATGTTTTCTTCACTGCGCATGCGCGCTGCATGTCGCAATGCGCCTTTTGATTGGACGAAAACTCAGCTTTCTTCTTCGCTGCTAGTAATAGTGATTGACATCGGATGGAACAATGCAAGTCCGCCATCTATTGTTTACCAGTGTTGATCTTTATTTTTGCTTTAAAAGTAAAAATGAAATGCTTAAAAAATAAGTAAAAATAAAAATTAGAATAAAAGTGTTTTTTTTTAACTAAAAAAAGCACAACAGAACTTTAAAATATATGTCTATCTGTGCCCACCATTGTGCCCACAGGTGATGCTCTGTCGCCCCCCGGCGGAAGTGAACCGCAGTGCTTCAAGTTGGTTTCACTTTTCTCCCACAGCTCGTAAAGAGGAACGGTCTTTGAACTTTAGGGAGAAAAGAGAAGCTGCTGTGAAGCGTCTGCAAGGTCAGTAAGGATCGCATTTGAAAAACATTATTTTATTAAACACAGAATGATCTTATTAGTGGTGTTTGATGAGTTCGGATGTGTCTGATTTATTCACTTCCGGACACTTGGATTGTTGTGTTTTCGCTCCTGATACATCCACGAAAACACACTCGRTTCCTTGGGTTTGAAATCAAGTTCAGGCGGGGAAACGTGTAAAAAAAATGGCATATTTTTGGATACACAGAAATGTTAATGATGAGTAAAGCAGCACTGAGGTGAGCAGAAATGTTTTGATTTTAGTAAAAATATATCTGCGACAAAGAAGCAGGAAGAAGAGAAGGAGGGTCTTCATCTTTCACTTTCATCATTACCACATAATCTCACAGAGGGATCTATCTACACATCAGCTGAAAAGGTAGCTAAAAGCTGCAAAAGGCTGGCTAAAAGCTAACATTAGCAGAACAGTAGGTAAAAGCAGCAAAAGGTTTGAAGTAATCAAAGTGGTCTTTATGTATTTCTGAGGGTGAATAAAGTTAAATATCTCCAAAAGTTCAAAAAGGACAAATATTACAAGTCATAGCATCCTATGCCTAAAAGGAGCTAAACTTTTATAAATATAAATGCTGTAGTTTCGCCTCTGCAGGATCAAATCTTTGTTTTGGAGTTGTGATCTCCCACTCTGATTGTATCCCCCCAGCAGATGGCAGAGGCGGGCAAGACGGTGAGGGTGACTGGTCTGCCTCCAGACGTGGACAAGAACCTGCTGTTAGACAAGTTYTTAATTTACTTTCTGAGAGCCAAAAACGGCGGAGGGGAAATCGACTCCATCACGATCTCCACTGAGTCCAAATGTGCCCTCATCACCTTCGAGGACAGCCCAGGTCGGTGGGGTCGTGTTGGTGTAAAAAAACACGTCCAACTTCCTAAATATCCTYTCTGTTCAGAGCAACAGAAAAAAAGGTTTTATGAATTCCAATGCATCAGTTTACATACAGTTGTATTAGTGAGGTGTTGCGCTCTGCCTGCTGTCATCAGTGATTTACACGGAGCTGGAACGCTCGCGTGCAAGTCAGCAGGGCAGAACCGTTTAGTCAGGATGCGTTTTCAGACTGAGATTGATTTCTTTTCGATGACTCCTCACACACAGTGGCCGAAAGGGTAGTTCAACGCAAACATCACATCCTGGAAATAAATGGGAAGAAGTACAAAGTGACTGCAACGACGCATCAGGAGCGTTTATACCCTGACCAAGTATGTTTACTCCGATTATTTCAATAAATAACAAATTATAGTTAGAATGAGAGTTAATTATCAGTTTGTTTGCTGTTTATTTTAGGTCATTTTGTGTTTAGCAGCGACTGTTGACTACAACAAGCTTCCTGGGGGAGTTGAAGCTTTGACGAGACTTAAGACAAGCCATCCAAAAATCAAGTTGGACTGCACTGCTTCTGGAGCAACGTGCACGCTGTCTGGTTCCTACTCGGACGTCCAGGCCGCTATGACCCTACTGCTTGGCCATCCTGGGGGTCCAGAGCTGGCAGAAAACGACTCGAGTCGTCAAGCTGCCCCCAGCAGTTCCTGGTCTCAAGAGTCAGAAGATCAGAGCAACAGAGCTAATAAACAAAGAGAACAAAAAGAAACGAGTAACACCGACAAGTCGTCGGACCGGGAAAGCTCGCGTTCAAATAAGAATCTGGCGCCCGGCGGTAACAACTGGGAAGCTATCGCCGATGAAGTCAGTGCAGCGCCGCGATCTCCCGCTGCGTCTATGGAGGACTTCTCTCTCATCCTGGATGCAGACATCTTCCAGTATTTGCAGAAACGCTGCAAAAAGCAATACAAGCAAATCCTCAGCCAGTGRGGCGTGGAGGTGGTCAACGAGACGAGTCAGGGCTTGACCACTTTGTTCCTGCAAGCTGCAGACGCAACAAGGATGGAAGATGGACACGAACGCCTGAACCTGGCTAAAGCGGAGATAAGTCGGCTTTACCAGGAGAACGAGACAAAGATCTGTCGAGAACACCTCCCCAAGTTAATCCTGTGTCCCAAAGGGGGACTACGCAAAGCAATGGATAGTTTAAGTACCAGATTTCCTAAGCTCCTTTTAAATGAAGATGAGCAAAATGTTTACTTTATCGGAAACACTTTAGATGTGTCTGAGGCCAAGAGGTCTCTTCTTCTAGATGACGAAGAAGAGAGCGATAAAAAGGAGGAGGATGCCAGGGTGAACTCAACATCACCTGTGGAAGTGGACTCCATGGATGAAAAGGAAGATAAGTCGGACGACTATGAATCAATACATGAAGTAACCTCAAAGTATAAACTAGCTGCTCGGTTTAAAGATTCATTGCTGGGTGGATTAAGCAGTCGACCACCTGACTTCACCTTCCGACCAAACTCATTGCCCAGTAGACAGCCTCACCACGGGCCAGTGCTGGGCCATGATGTGTTGCCAGAAACAACTCAGATTTCTGGTGGCACGGTGTCCAGAGCCCAAAACACAGGAGAGGACATCCTGTTTAGAACCACTCCATCTGCGTTCACTCAGTTTAAACCCTTTTTTAGCACAGGAATGATTGATCCTCAACTCCAGACTCCAACATCCCCCTTGAGCACTACTCCTTCCAGTTTTTCAGAGAGCGTTTCACGTCCCTCCATCGGGTCTGGATCCGCCTTGAAACGAGCCAGTAGTTTCTCGGGAACACCTCAGCAGAGAGCTCAAGTCGTGGTCCCGAAGAGCCGAGATGATTCCAGCAAGTCCACAGTCAGAACCGCAGAGAGGTCCTCCAGCTTCAGTAGCCAAGCTGTGAAGGACAAACAGGAAGGCCATAACGCAGAGATCACCGTTTCCAAGTTGATATGGGAATACATAAAGGAGGTTTACGGTGTCTGGGTGAAGGACCTGACCTCTGAAGTCCAGATGACAGAAAGCTCTGTGGTAGGCATACGGGAACTGACTGTTCTCCTAAAAGGGGCCGACTCGTCCAAAGTGAGGCGGTGTCAGGAACATTTGGAAAAACGCATCGCCCTAGTTAGTGCCGACTTCTCTGTGAAGGAGCTGCGTTGGTCAGAACTGGGCGACACCAACCCTGAAGACGAAACCTTAAAGGCCTGTTGCTCTGAGGTGAAAAGCCGTTTCAAGAAGATCGTCGTCCACCTATCTAAGAATGCTTTGTATCTCGCTGGTCAAGAGGAGATGTGCTCTCAGGTTGCTGCCACGCTGCGGGAGGTATTTTCTGGAGAACCTGAACACCACGGTCTCTCAAGTCCCTCTACGCCTATGTGGAGTTCAGCCACTCATTTACCCCTTAATGATCCTCAGAGTGAACATCTGAACAACTCTCAGCTGGTTCTGGGAACTCAAACAGACAAAACCAACAATCATCAATGGAGAACAACCTATGAAGGGGACTTTGGTAGGAAGGAGGGTCTTATTGGATTTTCTAGCCAATCTTCAGTGAGGAAGGACCACTTTATGGAGACTACGGGTGTTGTGATGGACAATATACAAATGGAAACAGTTATCCCTCGTTGTGCAACAGGAAAAGATACGAGTCCGGTGAACGGTGACCTGTCCAGTGACAAAAATCGAGACTTACAAACTCCTCAGACAGGACAGAGAAACAGACGGGTCCAGAACTCTCCAGACAAATCCAGGTCAGATCAGGGAGGCCAGGCTTATAGGTGTGTTTGTGGGGAGACTGGAACCTCACCAGTCAGATCAAAGTGTGGGATTCTAATGTGCTCTAAGTGCTCGGAAACGAGGCACGCCCACTGCAGAGTTTGTACCGAGGCGGAGCAAACGCCTGCCGGCATTCAGGGTGAAATAAAGAAATCTAGACTTCACATGAGTTTGCCGGGTCACAAAGACGGCGTTATCAAGATCCGTTACAACATTCCTGATGGCATCCAAGGGGTGAGTGATTACACCTCATCTGATATCTGTCACAGAGCACGTTGTACTTTCTTTAAAAAAAACAACAATGTTTTTTTATGATTTTACCTGACAAACACCATGTTTTTTCTGGTTAAAGAAAACGACAAGGCTCCTTGTGAAAAGCAATATCTAAAGGCAGGGGCGGAGCTAAGCTTTTTTTTAGCAGGTGTAAAAAGGTGTATTTTAGGGGGCCACATACAAATAAAAAAAGTACTCAGAAAATTCAAGATGGCCACCACAGCTAGTTCCAAGTGACTTTAAATTAACTGTTTTAMGAAATATTGAGCTGTAATTGTGTGATGATAGTGAAAAATGATCTAACAAAACATTAGAGAATTTGCATTTCCTGTGAAAATATTAGTGTGAATGCTTCATGCTGAAAACTTCAGCTGAAAGCTGCTAAAATTGAGTTGAAAATATTCAGTAGGAAAAGTGTTAATGTTAGCTCACTTTGAAAAGCTGAAAGAAGTAAAAAAAAAGCCTAACTRTACAGAAAACAGTAAGAAGGAGTACAAATCACAAAAAAGCACAAAAAAATTCAGTTTAGCTAATAACAGCTAAAATTGCAGCAAACAGCTAAATATAGCAGAAAACATCTAAGAAACATAAATAACACAAAGTAGCACAAAGTTGCACAAAGAGTAGACAAAGTGGAAGAATAGCAGAAAGAAGCAGATCTGTAGTTAAAGTAGCATAAAACAGCTAAAATTGGCATAAAATAGGCTAAAGCTAGCAGCCACAAGTTGAAATTAGCACCCAGATAGAGAAAATGTTGTAAAAAATGTAAAACGAGCAGAAAATAATTCATTTAAGTACAAAAAAGTGATAATTTGTAGTAAAATGTCTAAAACAGCTAAAATTTTCAGTAAAACAACTAAAAAGTAGCTGGAATTTTAATTAGCATAAGAAAACAAGTTTGCTGAACTTAACTGAAAAACATTGTAATAGCTACAAAAATGTGTATTTAGCTTAGAAAAGCCAACTTTAGCTAATAGCAGCTAAACATTAGCTAACATTTCAGAAAATAGCTGAATATAGCAGAAAATGTCTGTAAGAAGCATAAATAGCACAAAGTAGCAGGAAAAAGCAGAAGAATAGCGGAAAGAAGCAGAATTTTAGCTGAAATAGCAGAAAAAAGCTACAATTAGCAAAAGAATAGCTAAAGTTAGCACAAMAATGTGAAGAAGAGCAAAACCAGAACAAAAGGTGCTGTAAAGGTTTAGAAACATGTTAAAGGATTTTAAGGATGTTGAAAACAGCTCCATTCGTTTTCAATGGCAAAAAAGTGGCTAAAAAAGTGAAACAGCTAAAAAAAGTATAAAAAACTGAAATACCAAAAGTCATAGCATATAAATTGTTAAAATAGCACAAAAATTGTGGAATGAATTAGATGCAAAAAACGTACGGAAGAAAAAATYATCTCAATTGTGTAAATGTCACACAACAAACAAACTTGAAGATTAGTGTAGAAGTAGCTGAAAGAAATCTTTACCAAATCCTCAACGCTAATCAAAAATTCAAGATGGCCACCACAGCTAACTTTAAAAGACTATAATTCTGCAATTTTAAGATTTATTCAGATGAAATTTGTTGTGGAGTAACAAGAATGATCACACTCCGATTCTACTAACTGCTAATGCTACTAACTGCTAATGCTACTAACTGCTAATGCTACTAACTGCTAATGCAACTAACTGCTAATGCTAATTTTACAAAGAGCAATAATTCAAATATTTTTAACACTTCAGTAGTTCAGAGAACAATCTTTAACAAAATATAAATGCAAATACAAAATCCAATATTCCCATCCACTTGTTAAATATTTGGGAGTGGCACCCCTCTGGCCCCGCCCCCATCTAGAAAGGCTTTGTTTTTGCATTTTATCTCTCATCAGGAGGGTCATCCGTCCCCCGGGGAACCGTTTAAAGGAGGGACATTCGAGGCCTTCCTTCCCGACAGCGAGACGGCGAGACGGCTGCTGCCCAGGCTGGAGAGAGCCTTCAGGCAGGGACTCACCTTCACAGTGAGAGGAAAAGGGACAGAGGCCAAGGTCACCTGGGACTGCATCCCACACAAGACCAGCTTACAGGGAGGCAAAGCTCAGTGAGTGAACTGCAGGTCTGAGTGACCTGAGCRTCAGGTCAGAGATGATAGTCTGTGAAGCTGAGCTGAATTATTCTCTTTGTTCCTTCTCAGGAAGGGCTACCCAGACTCCAGCTACTTGACTCGGTTGTCTGACGTCTTGAGCTCCTATGGGATCGATTAGCCATCATCAGAGACACGTTTAATCCTGTTGYTTTATTGACAATGTTTTAAATTTGATCATCAATCCATCCATTTCTCAGGGAGAGGACTAATGTAGCTCTTATGTATTTTTTTATATTTCTTGTTGTAATTACAATGATTCAGTCRTTTTACGTGTTTTATTGACCCTCCCTCATTGTTTGGGTTGTTTTAAACTTGTTTCTACTGTAAACGAATGTTTTTACGATAAGCTGCACTAAACTGTACAAACACACATTTTGTATTGTTTTTAATGAAGTCAGGCACAAAAATAAAAGAGCACATTCCCTGACTTTGTGTTTTTGTTAGGCTTTTTTTATTAGTCCTGGAAAACATGTAAGGCATATGGTAACATCACACACTGAAGCGTTACAAGCTCTAAAGGCCATGTGGACAACATGGCACCACMCACTAAACCCAAAGTCAAACACAGAAGCAGCATCAATTCAAAGGGTTTAWAAAAACAAAGTCCAGGTGTGTTCACAGCCAGGAAGAGGTCACCTGTCGGGTGTGTCTGGTAGAAAATGACAGAGCTCCCACAGAGCGGGAGAGGCGTGYAGCTGGTTTCTGATCATGCCAAGAGGTTAAGAAGGATTTACCAGTGGGCCTCGGTTGTGCCCGTGCTGCAGGTGAGGGCGTGGCCTGGGAGCGGTGAGGGCGGGGCATCACGCTCCTCCCCCCAGGACTCGTGCATTCTCAGCACCTCTGCTTCACTGGCACACGTTTGGAAGCGGCTGCTGAGAAGTGACGGCTACAGGCAGGTGTTCGGGTCGGATGAGCGCCTCTGAAACATGAACCAGTTCACAACCGCAGATCCGAGAAAAGCTGCGACTTTGTGTTAAAATGTAAGTAAAAACAGGTTTGGAAGGATTTGCAAATCTTAAAAAWCCACAGCTATCATCGAAGTATTTCTTTTGTGCAGCACTTAAGTGTTTTTTTTTTTTTTTGAGGATCGGTGATTTTACCAAATATTTTTTTAATTAAAACTTTTGTTACATTGAAAACATGAAAATTATACTTCTTTACTTTAAAATTTAACACCTCGCTACAAATTTAAACATGAAAAATTGTTTATGCACTCTAAAAAAAAGTGAATTTATTTAACCAAACTGGTTTCATTAATGGAACCATTTTCATTAAGCAAATCCAACGCTTCGTTTTTAGTGTGTGTAAAAGTACTTTTACTTTTCTGATTACTGTGAGCAGTTTTGTGACTTTTACACAAGTACTTTTCTTATCAGTCATTTTCTGTTAAGATATTTTTACTTAGTTATTTTTAAGTACTTTACGCACAAACACAGCAAACATTTAAACGAGGACATTTTTTAATTTAAAAAAGTTATTTTGAATTTTATGGCAGCAACATTTTTTTTTTTTGGCTGCATTTACTGTGTTCCAATGTGAATAAAACACTTTTCTGTCATTTGCAAATCTGTTTTCATTCACATTTTCCACAAAATCCCAACTTTTTCAGAATCGAGMTCGGACATCCGGTGCTTTTATTGTGAAGAAAAATCCCCATAAAGAGTCGGTGGAAGAGTTCTGTTGCGTTAAAACGATCTGAGAAACTAAAGAAACACAGAAATTCACCTGCAAGCCCACCAGCGTGGGCGCCTGGGACATTCAGACACAAAGACAGAAAGAACCTTCACTAAAATATAAGTGTTAATCCGAAATAGATAATGAAAAGAAAAAAAAACAACACTTTGCCTATTTTTTTTCTYAGTTGCCCTTGCATAAGTGTCTGGACTGAGTGGGAAACCACTTCAAGATGACAGAACCATCCTCCCCAGCAGGCCTGAGGTAGGAAGGGGTGGCCCTCGGTTTAAGCAAAGGATCAACCCGAGACACGAAGCACCCGCCTCGGATTGAGTTCATCTCACAGGCATCAGATCAAGAAGAACCACGGGGGAAACGCTGCAGAAAAAAAAAAAGCTCCTAATCTGTTTTCCACATGCAGATGACTGCATGTGCTTTCAAATTCCAGATGTCAGGAAAAAAAGACATGTTTTATTCTCTGTGAGGAGAGAGCAAAGGGACTGACGGAGTGGAGTTTCGGCTCGTCGCTCTAAGATCTGCAGATGCAGCAGAAGGAAAGGAAGGAGGAACAAACCTTATGAAGCGAGAGCAGCTGTAAAGAGGAAATGTTGTGTCTGGGGCTGAGCTGGGATCAGCCAATGAGGCCAGCCTTTGCTGAGCTGTGTTACAGGATTGGCATCTCTGCACAGCTGTGTGAGAACATCTGCCGCCATCGCTCGCTCTCTGGGCCTTCTGCAAACGCTCCGACACAAACACCAAGAAAACACAAGCTTTTCGATTTGGAGCAAACTTTTCTCAATCTGTTTTTTTTGGTTTCGAGTACTAAACGTTCGCCGTTTTTATTCGTCGAAGCGGTTGTTCTATTGTGAGCGTTTGTAAAATACTGGAAACGACACAAAAAGTGGGTCACAGTTTAACTGGAGTAACACTGCAAAACACTCCAAAGCTCCTGGAAACTGCAGAGAAAAGAACAACCGGAGCATCTGGGATACAAAAACTGACAGCTTCTTCGCATTTTCTTTTCATCCTCGAGTCTGATGGAAATGCATCCGAAGGCAGATTTCTTTTTTTTTTTTCATATATATTTTTATGCATTGTTAATATTCAAAGCATTGACAGAGGAATATACATACAATTTTGGCACACATGGTTTGGACCAACAGAAAAAAATAAAACAAAAAAAACTTCATCACATTTAAAAGGAGTGCAGGTTAGCAGGTCCCCACATGGAGTACTGTATGAGCTTTGAACTTTAAACCCTCGTARAACAAAACAAAACAATCAAAAGAAAATATGAAGGAAAATTAAAAATAACAGTAAGTAAAACRTTTTTTTTTGTTGTTGTTTTGTTTTCTTGTTTACTGAAGCATTTGTTTCTCACATGGCACTCGGAACAGAAGCACCGTCCACAGGTTCACAAAGGGAGCCCAGCAGATTAGAACAGAACACTAACCAGAGGCTGACAGAACACAGTCACTCCCCACACCCGGGTGGCCCTCGCACTCCAGTCCGGCCCGTCCTCGCTCCGGGTTTCACCTCCCGCACGCCGCTGAGGGACGGCTGGACGGATGGAGGAGGCTTTTGATTTTTCAGCTGCCACCTAAAGAAAAAGTTGGCTCCAGTGGAAGCTGAAAAAAAGGGAAGGGGGGGCCATTTTTGTTATGTTTTTTAACTCAAAGTGTGTTTGTGCCACCTGTGCTGCTTTGGCAGGTAGTGGATGAGGAGGAGGAAACGATGCAGCTCAATCAAAGCCAGTGTGGTGGTGGGGGTGGCGGAGAGGGAGGGGGGGCTGGAGTGCGACTGCCAGGCTTGCAAGTGCATTGAAATCAGTGAGCAGAGTGCAAAATACTAAATACCAACTGTCCTCATAACACAGGCCTCTTATCAGACAGGACGGAGGGATGGGGGGGTGGAGCTACATGGAGCTGTAGCGGAGTAGTGTGAGGTGGACATGAGTGGGCTAGGTGGTGACAGGGGAGGGCGGGGCTTTTAAAACCTGACAAACGACCTGAGGACACACACATCTTCACACACAATGGCACACCACACACAGCACAAGAGGGAGGCCACTCATGCTGACACAACAACTTTTTTTCTTTAACTTTTTTTTTTTTTGCTTGTTTGCATTTTTTTAAACATTTTTTTTGTTTGTTTTTTACAAAGTCACTAGTCACCTTCTGAGTCTGAACAGTGGAGCTGGACCCAAAGACAGGCAGGGAGGCAGGCGAGGGTGGGGTGGGGGTGGGGGGGGCTCCCTGGTTTAAAAACAGATGAAAAATCATGAAAAAAGGAACAAAAATGTGGCCCTAAAGGGACACTTCAGTCATCTTTGAAGTGATGTTCTGTCTAAAGCTTAATATCAGCTGTGACATCAGGCTAGGCTAACGGCTAGCTCCTCCTAAAGCCGCCGCCTTCTGTGGTTTCTGAACGGACCGAGGCGGCGAGGAGGACTGAAGCCAGCCCACATCTGACGCCCCTTATCTTCATAAAGAAAGGGTCGACACGTGAAACTGTAGGAACCACCGTCCTGAAGCGATGACGTCTGGTCTGMGCGAGCAGCCGGTCGCTGGATTAAACAACACAAGCAGATTTATCACCGAGGCGAGATTAACGATTCGATGCAGCAGCTTCACTTTTAGCTTAAGAAAGTTGCTAAACTGAGTTATTTGCCTTAACTTGTCGCGCTCTCTGTCGGCTCGTTTCTAAAAGCTCACGTCTGAGCGGGACGTCGGCGAAAAGAACGACGGATCGACCTTCGCGGCCATTTCATAAAACGGAGAAAAGAAGCGAGGAAGTTAGTGTTTGGTAGATGATTTTTTGTTGTAACAAAAGCTTCCTGGCAATAAATCGTAAAACCGCTGGAAAGCCTTAATTTCCCTTTGAGACGGTGCCACATTTGTAAGGAACAAGCATTTGTGGGAAGAGCAGTAGAGTGGAGTGTGTGGGATGCACGCATGAAAAACTGACCAAATCTTCTCTGCCAAACATATTTTGTTCTGTCTTAAGATTTATTGCCAAGAAGCATTTCAGCAAAGAAAAAATCAACCAAACACACATTTTCGTACTTTTTGTGCTAAACGTAGAACATGTTTTTAAAGCCGATGCCAGACGTTATCTATTCCGCATCGTAACACAGACGTTCGGCTAAGAAAAAAGCAAAACAAACAAAACATTTTAGCGTTAGTGTTATTAGCTAATTTAATTTTTTTTAATCTTTTTTTTAAAAAGTGGCCCTCGTTTGGTTAGCTATTAGCTTAGCCTGGATGAAGACTTTTGCCTGTTTCGCCCACGCTCCACGACACCGATAAACTCTCGCTATTGACTGATCAAACTTTCACAGACTACAGTCCAATCACACGACTTCCTGTTGGATTCAGCTTTGTTTACACTGAGTGCGGACCCGCATTTCATTGCGACACATCAATATTAATCAATTAATCAATGGAGTAACGAGGGGAGGCTGCTTGCACTCATTGTCAGAGTAAAAACGTTAGATTTCAGACTAGTTTGGTGGAGATTTTAATCTGAGATTAATAAAACTCCACCTGTTGAGACACGGGCGGACAGCACCAGCTATCGGTTGCGAGAGCAGAAAAACAAAGATGGGAGGGAGGAAAAAGAAAAAAAAAAAACATCTCTGACGAGCCTGACGCCTGTTGCTATGCCCACCGTAAAGAAGGAAACAGAAAGAGGAGGAGGAGGAGGAGGAGGAGAAGAGGAGCAAAGCATGGACACCAGCTCCGGCTGAATCCTCCTCTCTCGGGTCGACCTGACGCTTGTCGCTGTGAAAGGAAACTCACTTCCTTCACTTGCTCACCGTCTCTCAGCCTGACAGAGCCTCTTTCATGGTGTTCAGCGTGTTTACGTGTCGCTTCCAACAGATTCTCTCCTAATTGGCTCCTTACCAACAGTTGGTCAG